GGGGGGGGGGAATTTAAAATTTGCTTTGAGTGTTAATCGGATACATCTAGCATCTAGAGAACGTCTCAGAGATGCATTAGTGGATTTCCCAGCCTATCCTTTCACCGAGAAACCTGTTATCATCACTTTCCATCTGTAAAGGCTGATTAATTTGCTTGGATCAGGAAAAAAGCGTGTTGCATCATTCAGATGGATGTTGATCTATTATGCAAGTTTTTGACCAGTTTGGAAGAAAAATAATTTTTTTTGCATGTCTAGTTTGATGCAGCAACTAAGTCAAGAACTGGAAAGCGATGAAATTCGAACATTTAGGCACTCAGTTGGTTCTCCGGTGGCCAGCTCTCCTCCAGGTATTCCCATTGACGTAATCAATGCATTTTTTTTTTGAATAAGTAACATAACTGCTGATGTTAACCTTGGAGAGTCTAGCCTGATAATGGTGTTATATATCCAACAGGCAGCTGGTCAAACTTCGGCAGTCCTGTTGAATCCAATCCTTTGCGAGGTTATAGTCAATCACCTGGTCTGAGAAATCTCAGCCCTGTAAATGGTAATCTTATGCCAGGGCTGGCCTCTATTCTTCCTGCACACCTCTCAAGTCCGAAGATTGCACCTATTGGTAAAGATACCGGAAGGGTTGGCCATTTGAATCAGGTAACTACTAGTCCAAAGTTGGCGCAAGGAGTGGGTAATTATCAGCATTCTTTTTCAGTCCCGGAGAGGAATCCAGCTTCAGGCATGGGATCTATGCCATTTGGTAACAACTCTAAGCCATCTGGTACTGCAACACTTACCGGTCCACAGTTTCTGTGGGGTAGTCCCCCTATTCACTCGGAGCGTACCGACTCTTCTATCTGGCCAACTTCATCAATGGCACATCCTCCATTTGCATTAAATGGACAAGGACAAGGCTATCTCCATTCACGTAGGCAAGGTTCTTTCCTCGGATCGCATCACGTGGGGTCCGCTCCATCTGGAATTCCTCTGGAAAGGCATTTTGGTTTCCCGGAATCTCCTCAGACATCATATGTAAACCCACTTGTATTTGGAAGTGGAGGTTCTACTCATAACAATGGAAGTCAGGTGATGAATATAGGTTCCCTTGGAGCGATGAACATGGGTGTTGGTCTTACTGGGAACTTTACTGACAGTGGTTCTCCTAGCTCTAGAATGATGCCATTGACAAGGAATGGGCCTATATTTTCCGGAAATGGCTCTTACGGAGGACTAGGAACAGTTAGCGGCGAAGGACTAATTGAACGTGGTCGAAGTCGGAAAATTGAGAGTGGTAATCAGATTGACAACAAGAAACAGTATCAGCTTGATCTGGAGAAGATCAGAAGAGGAGAAGATACTAGGACCACTTTGATGATTAAGAACATCCCAAACAAGTAAGAACTATCGAAATTATAAATCAGAATTAAGTGTTTTTTGGTAAAACTTTTTACACTTACTCTTTTATGTTTTTCCTCTTCATTTAAGGTACACGTCGAAGATGCTACTTGCAGCAATTGATGAGACTCATAAGAATACATACGATTTCCTATATTTGCCAATTGATTTCAAGGTAGTATATTTCTTTCCTTTGTTAACATTTTTCGATAAATTTATAAGGGAGGGTAGACCTTTTGAGTGACTTGTATATAACATTATACTGAAAGTAGAACTGATTGTTTCGCTGCTTTGCTGCTTCAGAATAAATGTAATGTTGGTTATGCCTTCATCAACATGGTGTCTCCTGCACATATCGTCTCCTTTTATGAGGTTTGAGTTCTTTGTTGTTTAATAACCACAAATTTATCGGGTGAAAATTTTTGGAACCATTTTCATATGAATTAGTTGAATGTGGTGTATCTCCCTCGTTCAGACAAAAAAAATTGCGCGTTCGTATCTTATCTGGATAATATTTTAGAATGGCCTTATAACCTCAGACACTTGTGCAGGTATTCAATGGGAAGAAGTGGGAAAAGTTTAACAGTGAAAAAGTTGCGACGTTGGCTTATGCACGTATCCAGGGAAAGGTAGCTCTGGTTACTCACTTCCAGAACTCAAGCTTAATGAATGAAGACAAACGGTGCCGACCAATTCTTTTCCAGTCAGAGGGCCAAGATGCAGCTGATCAGGTAGCTTAGACAAGAGTATAGTTTATCTTTGTATAACCGAAAAACTGCCTTCTTTGAGGTGTAATAACATGATGTCATATCCTTAGTTCAACTGACATCAACAACAACATACCCAGTCAATACATCGTTGAACTGATTGCTTTTTTTGGTTCGTCAGGAAACTTTGCCATCGAGCAATCTTAATATTTGTATTCGTCGGCCTGATGGATCCTATTCGGGAGATTCTCTTGATAGCCCAAAGGGTAGTCTCGATGGGAAGCCAGAGATATTCACTGGAAGCAGCTGACTCTTATTCATAAATGGCGGCAATGGGTTCTAACTGTGAATAGAAATTCGAGTACATAATTTGTCAAGGAACTAAGGAAGCCATGAAATTGCATATAGTTACTTGTGTGTGCTAGCAGTGTCTACTTTTTGGATGAAAGACACTCTAGAGCATGTAAGACGAATTGTTACCGAGGCAGAGAGCATTTTGTTTATATGTAGAATGATGACACAATTGATGATCTATTTAACAAAGGGGAGTAAAATAAGGTTTAAGCATTCAGCCAAAGTGTGAAGTTCCTCAGCTGATATGCTTTGCTAGTTGCAGCAATGCAGGATTTCTCCTTTCTACTTTTACTTTTTTGGCTGTTATGCCTCTTGTTTTGGTGGGATTCTCTTACCTAATTAATGCATACTTTTTTTTATACTTGTGGGGCTGTTTTATAAGTGTATAGGATGGAGATTAACAGACCCTGCATTCTTTCTTGAATTATGTAATGACTACCTACTGTTGTATTTATCACATTTGTGGTTTAAATGATGCTTTCTTATTCCAAAGGATGCATAGTAATTTTTCTGAAAGTAGCAAACTTTTATGTTGTTTCTGGAAACCAATGTCATTACATTATTGTGGTTAATGGTCTGCCTAAAGATAATAACATGTGCTGAATCCTCACAGTAATAGATGGTAGAGCAGGATGTATAGGAAGACATCAACAAACCCAGTGTAATCCCTCCCACAAATGGTGTTTGGGGAGGGGTAATGTGTTCGCAGACTTTAGACCTTAGTGAGAGGATGAAGGAAGCAACAAAGAGTGACAACAAGTATATAATAAGATAACGGAAGCAAACAATATATGAGTAATAATAATGATCTAAAGAGCAAGATATATAGGAAATGTATATTATTGATTTCAACTAGTTTAGTATTGAGGTTTAGTTGATTGATTTGTTATGGTTTGTTAGAAGAAGAAAGAAACCTTGTCCCTTCTTTGGGTTGGGTAAAGTGGTCAAGAGGGGATACCACAAGCAAAGTACTGCTAAAAACATAAAAGCATAGAGGAAAATCTAGTGTAAGATATACACACAGTTGACCCATATTCACCGACAAGTAAATTGCATTGCCAACGACGACCCTTCATAAAAATGGATGGTAAAATATACTCTCACTGTTTCAATTTATGTGAACCTGGTATGAAGTTTAAGAAAAAAAAAAAAAAAACTTTTGAACTTGTGTAAAATGAGGCACATATTTTGCATGGCTATAAATTATTGCATAAAGGTAAATTGTGTTGTCTGAGGCACATATATATATATATATATATTTGATGTGCCATAGGCAAATACAGAATCAAGAAATTAATATACACCTGATTCTAGACGAAAGCAATAAGTTTAGTTGAACCTGACAAACTGCACTATATCCGACTTTGAATAGGACAATATTACGCGTTTATGTTCTGATTCACCCCACTGCTAAGAAACTATTCTATCCTTGTAATTTGATATTGGCTACAGTGTTGATGAGAACTCATTCCTCTAAGACCATGCATGATGCATATGCATAGAATATAGCTCAAGCAAACTCTGCCTGTTCATTAGGAAATAAGTTGGCAAAGGTAAGCCACAAGGCAAGTTTCCCATTACAACAGGAAATATCTCAGCTATGACAAACTTATAAGTTCCCTTATAACATGTCAGTGAACAAGTTTTTCAACTCTTCTCCACTATAACTAATCCTGTCTAAAGTTCTCAGATTTGAAGAGCATCAGCTATTGATCCTGCCAAACTGATAACTTCAAATGGAGCTTTATTAGCAACGGCTTTCACAGTATGAGGACATGAATCTGTGGTCCAAAAGTAAGTGAATGCTTTCTCTGAACCTTGAGAACAAAAACATTGGTAACAGTCAGAAACCTGGTAAAGGAGATGCTTATAAAGGCAGGCAGATACAAATTCAAAGATTTACCGTCGTTCTTGTGGAGAAAACGCTCCCATGACCGCTTTGGGAAAATTCCATGAGTCACATAAGCACTAACTTTTGATGCACCATGAGCGGCCAAAACTTTCTGGGACAACCAAGCATCAAAGAAGTACAATATTAGCAACTTGTCATATGAATGTACTCATTAAAGACGAGTACCGCCGCTTTTTAACAAGAATGCATTAAATTGTGGAGGTCTGGATAAAACATTCTTCATGTCATTAAGTCCTTAAAAGAAGAGTTTTGCAAGTATTAGTTTCGAAGTGAATGATTTTTATTGTGCACTCTCTAACTTCCTATCTCCTTTCCCTTACATTTGGGGGGTTATTCAATAATCTACTTTTAAGTGCATTGCTGGGATCCTTAAGTGTACCTCATCCCGTAATTGTTCTGTACCACAATTACAGTCCAGAACTGTTGAGGGCAATAACCTTATGTCTGTTCTAAGCCAGTTGTGACAAAAAAATGACGCCTTGGCAGAACGTGGAAGAACAATGGCTCAGTTAAAACTTTTAAGCCAAAGGAATGAATATTACCAAAATATAGTAAATTTTAACTGAAAAGAGAAGGCACCATGATAGCATCGTCGGAGGATCCAACAAAAAGATAACGCATGCCAAAAGCTAGAGTTAGAAGGATAGCTTGAAATTCTTGGGTAAACTTAGATGGAGGGCTGATGTGAGGAGTTCAATGGTATTTGCGGGAGCCATGCGTCATAAAAAAGTCAAGAATCAACACATGAAGTGCCAAGATGCTCATAACAAAGTTTCACTCAAAGAGAAAGCTTCAAGGCCTTCAAAAGTAGCTCAGTTTGAGGGAAATTCAAGAATGCAAAGTCACTGATTTGGAGCGAATATGGGACTTAGTCCAGTCACTTAGGTGTGTAGGACTTGTACATGTTTGCCACATGTTATTTTGCCTTATTTAGGCCATTTTTAATGTCTTCTTTGCTGATTTTTAGAGTTAAGCATGGGGACATTTCTGGAAAGGTTCTAGGGTTGTCTTTTATTATAGATAATAAGTTGTTTTAAGTGTAAACAATCAATTTAGGATGATTTAAAAATATTCTCCCATGCGAGGCTTAAGAAACCTTAGTGGTTCTCGCAAGAACTTTACAGATTATCCATTCAAGTGAGTGATTTACTTTGAGGTAATCAGGTTTCTTTATTTCTTAATATCTTCAGACACCCTACTAGTTCTTGTTCTTTCTTTACCTTTCTGACCACGTGGTATTCTTGGTAGTTTATTCTTGTTTTGTTGTGTGAATGTTTGTCGGCCATGTGTATTGCCCATAAATCTGCCCGTTTCCCTTGATCTTGTTCATGTGAAGAAATCATCTTGCTTGGGATTCAAAAGTCATACAATATGTGTGCTATCACACCAACAAAAAAAAGGACAAAAACAAATACTAAGAGTTAATAATTACACAAAATATAAATCCGTAGGATCTCTTTTTTGGAAGGTATAATGTTGAGAACGTAATTAAGTATATAAAAGTGTGCTCTCTCTAATAGCTTTAGCTTTTAGATGAGATGGTCACACAACTCAACATGGTATCAGAGCCTCGGTTCGAGTTTCACCGCCACCCGTTATCAAAGAGAATTTCCCATGCTTGGCCCATGAAAAAAATCAGACCCACACGTGAAGGGACGTGTTGAGAATGTAATTAAGTAAATGAAAACATGCTCTCTCTAATAGCTTAAACTTTTAGATGAGATGGTCACATAATTTAATATATAAATCCCCAGAATCTCCTCACTAATGAAGGAATGCAGGTAAATAAATGACACAGATCAATCAGAATGATTACTCAACCAACCAAGCACAGATCCTTTTTACGAAACAAGAGACATTAAAGTTTCAAATGATTGTCACATATTCAAGTACTCTTCACACAGATACTAAAACCCTTATCAGATCTCAGAGGCTGGAGTACCTGGCATTCGATTAGGGTACCTCCAGACTGGACCAAGTCATCAACAATGACCACATGACAGCCGTCAGGATTACCCTCTTTTAGTCTGACGATTCTCTTATCACCTTCACGCACTTTAGTGCAGATAACCTAAAAAGGAAAATCTGCTGATTACAAAAAAGTTCAAGATTGGGTAAACATACAGAAACCAAATTAGAAAGATGTCGTTTTTAACTAACAGTGGGATAGTCAACTAATTGGTTGTGAAACCTCTTCCAAGCTCCATCATCAGGAAAGGCTATAACTATCTGGAAAATGGAAAGACATTAAAACATCATTGCTACATCTCAAGGTAATTTTATTGGGAAAAAAAGGACCAAATAAGCTCAGAAGAACTCCTGCCCACTTTTTCAGACTTAGGAAGCTGTTGAAGCCGTTGCTTCAGCAGTGGAATTCCAGTCTCAAACAGAGGCAGCACATTATCTCCAAAATAGAACCTCTCCTGCAGAAAAGAGAGAAGTACGTTCAACAGAGATGGACGTGGATATCTTGAAAATCTTTAGAGCGCCTATATCACATAAAAGGATACACTTCGCAAGATAAACATAACACTGGTGATATAGATTGAGTATTGTTGGCCAGTAATGTTCGTAATAACAGCGAAAATAAAGTTGTAATCAACATTAGAAAGGTGAAATTTTCTGCTTTCAGTATAACTATGGACATTTCTGGCAAAACCGTAAAAAGCATAACCTAAAAGCCAAAATAGGATGTGTATAAATTGATGCTTCTGAATGATCGCGAAGTCCAATTATCAATTAAATTGAAGAATCTTAGATAAAATCTTTGACCATCACATCAAATAAGAGCGCAATGTGAATACAAAATGTACAAATGGCATACAATTACATGATGAAATAAATTAACCTGCAATGCATGTATGTCATAGATAACTAAGCTGGTCGGACCACCCCTTGATATTGGAATATTTGATATTAATCTGGCCATTGTAAATGCAGTGGCCACATCTCCTTCTTCCTCCATCCTCTCAAAGGTACCAGTTGGGAAGAAAGGTAACACAAGTGTAAATGAGGCGACAAACAGCCTTGGAAGTGCGAATATCACAGAAAGCTGTTCAAAGATGACTGCTGGTGAGCTGAAAGATGCTAGAAAAGCAACATGCTGCCCACGGATATCATGTGCGTTGTTTATAAAGAGATTTGGGAAACCATCAGCGAAACTCCTGGAACATGAAATTCATATTGGTTAGTGTTTGTCCCAGTAAAGGGTCAACTATAGTACAAGTAACAGCATCATTTCAAGGTAATTAGTATACCAAGTCAAATCCTCTAGCATACAAATTGCCAATAGAAGATTGTTTACAAAATAGGCAGGAACTAAATAATTGAATTACTGTGTAAACAATGCAAAAATAACGCACACTTTTCCTTCGCCCCGGTTATTGTTTAAAACATTCGTCTCTTTTTACCACTATACCTCGACGAAATTTAGGTTTCTAATAACTGAGAAATCCTGAGGGCCTGCTGGTGTAGGGTTCGAAACTTGGTAGATAATGTGTTTCTCCCCTCTACTATAGTACATAGCATCATATCAAGGTTCATAACTACATCAACTAGTCAAATGCTTCCGCATACAAGT